GTGTAAAAAATAACTTGTACTAGTTGAAGAATAAAAAAAAAACGGCTGCTACAATCAGCCGACGTCTTCTCAGTCAGAGGTCAGTTGGAGAGACGTTGTGATTGGCCTAGATGATTGTCAATTAAAACACTCATTAACATAATTACCCGTTGAAAAATCGACGGATTCCTGCAGTGTCGATAGAGGGCCATGCAGAATAAACCAGTCGGGGTGATTTAGCGCTAGCACCTTCATTTCGCGATTTTTTTTATTTTATTTAAACTACAAAAACAAATTAATCGCCCCGACTACGCCAGTCTAATATAGGTACTACATGTGGACCATCTTAAATTTGTTCATTTCATGATATCTTTAATTTTCTAATTTTGGTGAATATTTTTGGTAAAGAGTGATATTTTCTTCTTGTTTAAAAACCACAATCATTTATGGTGAAAAATGACATTTTTGAATTCTTGTTGTAAATAGCAGTTCCTATTGCATTGATACTATGCATATTGTTCATTTTCTAATGATATCTTCAGTTCTTTAATTGAAATGTGCATTGCTAACAGCGGAGCTATCTCAGCCGACAGGCTGCTTGTTACTGTATTTTATTAATCTATTTTCTCAGAACTGTATACAGTGACTCTAAATTTTACAGTTCATTGAAAATAGTGATTGTGTTCTGCTTGCTTATTGCTTGCTTGTAATAAAAAATAATTTGAGAATACTGGGAGTCTGTAATTTTTTTTCTCCCATGTGCAAAGCACAAAATGGGAGTCTTTGCAGTTAGTCTGCCTGTATGTCTGTGTGGGGGGGGGGGGTACCAATGTTGATGACTTCAATTTAACTTTACACAGACTTGTGACGACAGGACCTACATTGTAACATTAATATTTAATCACATTTAAGTCAAATTTGCATAGCTTAGGTTTAGTAAAGGGGGGGAGGTATGGTCCAATTTATATTAATATTGATATTATCTAATTTTGATGAATATTTTTGTCATTTTTGGTAAAAAGTGATATTTTTGAATTCTTGTTGAAAACAGCAAGTCCGATTGCTTTGATACTATACATACTGTTCATTTTCTAATGATATCTTCAGTTCTTTAAAATTGAAATGTGCATTGCTAACAGCGGAGCTATCCAGTTGACGGACCGCTTGTTTCAGCTTTTAATGACACTTGATACATAGATGATCTGGGTTAACGCACAGACCTGATTAGTTTTTGGTTGAAACCATGTATATTAATGACATAATTTGCATATTAATTAGTCAGTTTTAAGGTAGCGAGGTTTTGTGACGTTTTTAAATAAAACATTCTCTGTTGTCTCGTTCAGAACAGTAATTTAGGTTATATATCAAAAGACTAAGTATAGAGGTGCAAGTTCGCACAAACTGGACAGACATTGTTTACATAATTATCACGCGACATCAAAAATGGCGAACCTTGTAAAAATGACTAAGTACGCGATTGCGAGAGCACACTGCGGAATTTCCTGGTGAAATTTAAGTTATGCATTGTCCGTAATCAAGTCCATTGAAATGCGATAATCAAAAGACCTATTATTCCGATTTCTATGCAGGTTTGTTTTTTTGTCCCCAAATTATTTCATACTTGGCACCTTTAACAGACTATTATTCTGTGACAAAGCATTTTCTTTAAAAACCCAGACATATTTCGCACCATCATTATTTTTTGAACGATAACTGCGAGTTTGAATGTCCTAGTCCGAACGCACTTGATTTGGCGGCGGTCCCAATGAGTCGTTCTCGATCAAAACTTCAACTCGAGAAAAACGCGAAAAACAGTTTTGGTTAATAAAACACTGTAGATTTGCTGCATTATTATAAATATACACTAAAAATGGCCAAACATATTAACCACTGATATCACAGAACTCATAAAGAGTGTCAGATAATGAATAATTTCAAGCTCGAGCGTGA